AGAGGGCATACAAAAAAACAACCCAACAAAGGGGAATCCCTAAATAAAAGGGCTACAATCCAAGAGAATGAGACCTAACTGATAATTACAAAAGGCCTTAGTTACCAAACCCCATAAGGAAGTATTAAACCTAACGAGATCCCAAACATAATCCACGTTTTTTCCACCCCATAAACAATCTATTATTCCTCTCTAGCCAGATACCCCATAACGAAGCCAAAAAGCCCGCCTGCCAAAGAAAACGGCCCCTGTCCCTAAAAGGGGGGAACAACAACACTTCCTCCATCATCATCTTACAGTTTCTGGAGCGAACCCAAGCAATCCAAAAACATCTGAAAAATCGAAGCCATAAATCCTGCGCGAACTCACAATTCCATTTAGCATCTTTTTATTATGGAAGTTTTTGTTTAAATGACTATTTAGGAGATTGTTGAACAAACGTGAAATTAAGCCAGGTAACTTGGTGGATTTCATTTGGAAACATGAGATGCTAAAAAAGGTAATTTTTTTGTGCGGACTTTATTTCTTCAAGATGTTATTATTGGGGAGGTTTTTTTGTTTTTTGTTATATATATATATATTATTTATTTATTTTATTTTCTTGATAAGAAACAGAGGGGATGCATTCAAAATAGATAGGCATTTTCAACCCAAAAAAGTCCTTTTTTTTTGGGAAACTGGAAAGCTGAGAAGAGTCAAAGTTATCAATTTTTCTGGTGTGATCTTTTGGAATATCTTGCTTGGTTGAACGCTTGAACTGTGCTAGACTACTTGGAGTGTGAGTTTGGTTTCCTAAGCCCAACCCATGTTTGGGGAGGAGTTTTTTTTGTAATTATAGTCTACTAATGATGCCGAATGATATGAAAGTAGTGATTGATGTCGCCCTATGCCTTTAGGTTGTTTTTTCCCTTTGATGAGCTCAATACCAAAAATCCTTGAGGTTTCCTGGGTTGAGCCTTACAGTGGGTGTCCTCAAAGCTTCGACTCTCGGTTATCAAAAAAAAAAAAAAAAAGAAAACTAGAAAAGATGGAGAATTCCTATCCATGGGAGTCACAAAAATCTTCTCCAATTGGATATTAAAGAAGAAACACTTTAGTGATGAAACATAGGTGAACGTTTACACCAAGAAACTACCAAATAAACTATAGTGTCAAATAATTGAATCAAAAGATAGCTGATTTTCTTTGAAGATTCTTTGATTTATTTCTTGTCCAGTGACCCATAGAAGGCTCTGATAAAGTTCATCAACAAATTTTTTTTTCCCCCTTCCTTTTTCCATATCTAAAAGGATTTATGCATGCCTAACATTTACTTGTCTTATTTCTGTTTCTTTATTAACAAAGCGTGCTCTTTAAGAAGACACTTTCTTAGCTTAATTGGAAGTGAGTTCAGACCAATAAAATTATTGAAAACTTTTGAATTGCACATATTTGCATGTATTTTTAATAAATCAATTGCATGTATTATTATCAAATTAATAAATCAATTGCATTCATCTATTCTATTGTTAGGTTGATAAGGCATTGTTAAGTGTGGAAGAAGATGCTGAGCACATTTACAAGGATGAACGTGGTTTACTTCTTGACAATGAAGCTGCATCAACAAGGGATGCAATGTGAGTGCTAACTTTTATGTTTTTTTACGATATTTACAAGTTCTTGGTTATAATATTTGTTATTTAAGATATTTTTTTTGATTTGATGTTTATGTTAAAAATAGATATTGTTTGGATCTTACAAGTTAAAAGTTGTAATGGTATTCAATTCATAAATTGATAATATCTTGTCAAGTAAATGATAGTTTAATGCTTATCTTTGGGATTTGAGATTCTTTTGAGGGGCTGGTTTATTGTATTCCCTTGTATTTTCTTTCCTATTTCACAATGAAAGCTAGATTTTATATAAAAAACACTAATCTTTGAGACTTGGGATCGACCATGCGTGTAAAGCCAACTTTGTCAATGCTTTGTGCATTTTTTTTTCCAGCAAGTTACCTTGTTTAGATGTTTGATTGGGGAAGAAGCTCAAGATGAGAGGTATCAGTTTGAATTGAGATGGTGGAACAATATGAAGAAAACAATTTGTATGAGGGGGAATGTTTTTACAAAGAACAATATTTTAAAAAAAATATTAGACTAGTTAGTTAATGCTTTATCCTTGTTCGTAGATCAACCTAATTGAATAATAGAACCTAAGACAAAAGGATGATGAAACACACTTTCTAATTGGACTACAAAATAGCAGATCTTCCCCTTTTGGATAGAACTTGCTGTCCATTTGCATTTCTTATTCTCTATGGGTGGGAGAACTACAACATTTGGGGGTGGAAGTTTGAACTCATAACCTCTTGGTTGGAGATATGTGTCAATTACCGTTGAACTACGCTCGCTTTGGAGATAGAAATTCATCCAAAACTTCTTCATTTTAAAAGGGTGACCCAAGAGAGTAACTTCCAAGAGGAGAAAGGGTTGGTAGGTAGGTCTATGGACCATCCAAAACAACTAGGATGGACCCCTAAAACCTTGTGGCGTAAGCACAAGTAACAAAAAAGTGTGGCTAAGTTTCCGAATTTTCCTTGCAAATCAAGCACCATTGCAGGGAGATAGAACATGTAGGGCAATCTATGTTGTAGCTTGTCATTTGTGTTGATGGCTTTGTGGCTAATCTCTCAAAATAAATAACTTCATCTCTTCATTGAAAAAATGAAAAGGAACAAAATTGTTAAAACGATACAATCTCCCAAAGGAGTGAAAAGAAAAACAATAAAATAGAGACTAAAAGAGGCAACTACCAAGGAAATGTGTATAACTAGAGTCACTAAAAGCACCAAGAACCCAGGTAAAAATCTAATTGGGAGTTATCCCCACCTTTAGAATAAGGGAAGGTTTATGTGATAGACTTGTTTCTTTGTTATATTTTGGAGAATTTGGCTAGATAGATCCATGGAGTATGTGTTGGAGCTTATTAGATTTAGTACTTCCTGTAGGAGTTTGTTTTTGAGGTTTTTTGTAGTCATAAGTTAGGTGTTATTCTTTTGAACCGGAGCTCCTTTCTCTAGGTGGGCTTCGTTTTGCAGGGCTGATTTTTTGAATGTCCTTGTACATTCTTTTATTTCTCTCAAAGATACCACCACAACTGGAGCTCCTTTTTGAATCTCGTTTCATATCAAAAAAAATTTCTCTCAAAGAAAGCTTGGTTTATCATAAAAAAAAAATTGAGACTTGCAATGAGGCCCTTCTTGCAAATTATAGCCTTAATGATCTCTTGACAAACTAGAAGCTTTTTAGAATCCAGTTGGGGCTATCTTTTTGTATATTTCACATCTTCAATGAAATATTCGTTCCTTACCAAAAAAAAAAAAGAAGAAAAAAGCCCTTTCTTGCAAAATTGTTGTGGTGGTTCCCTTTGATGGCCAAAGCTTTATGGCATAGGATCATTGTTACCAAGTATGATCCCTGCCTATCAAGGGGATTACAAGCTGTAGGATCATAGACAATTCATGAACTTGTTCAAATCCATCGCTTCTGGATTAATGACTTTCTTCTGATGGGAATCTTCTAATTTTTCTTTGTTGCTTCCTCGGTCTGGCTGATCTCTATTCTTCCCGGGTGTTAGGAATGTTTGTTTATTGAGAGTTTTGTTTAGCTTATTTTTTCTGTGTACACTTTATTTTAAAATTTAATTAGATTACTAGGGCAATTTCACAATGGTGTTTACTTTCTAATTTCTGTTTATATTCGATTAAATAATTTTTAGACTGTACCATCGTCATTATTATTTTTAACTTGAAAATATGTGCAACATGTGAGTGTAAACTAGTAAAAGAATTGGACATTTCAAACTTGAAGATTATATTCAAAGAGTGAAATACAAGGCTTTTACCTTATAAGTTTAAGGCAAGAGCATTAGCTTGGTGGGATCCAAGTAAAATCAGACCAAAGAGTCGAAGACAGATGGGTAAACTAAGCTGTGATTGAGATCCACAAGAGCATACGGGAAGAATTTTATGGGTAATTATGCTAATGATTTGTATACTTCGTCACATGCTTATTATTACCCACTAAAGCTTGCCCCTTTTATGATCTACACAATTTTTTGGACCAATAAAGAAGTTCTGTTAATAATTCCACTACAGAGTAGGCCATAAAGATTTACCTGTAGGCTGTTTGTTTTTCGGGAATGTATATGTTCGGCATCCTCAAATGCCTGAAATTTCAGATGCCCTAATTTCTAGATGTCCGACATTTTTAGATAGCCACGTTTGTTTTATAGGAAAATTTACAAAGATGTTCAGATATATTTAGATAGCCACGTTTGTTTTGTAGGATTTGTATATGGGAATGTGTTTAAATTACGTATTGTCCAACAATACCCTTTCCGGTCATCATATAATTTATATGTAAAATTTAATATAATTTGAATTCATATAAAATTTTACTTTTATTAATTTAATATTATATTTTTATGTCAATTTAGTTTATGTTGGGTTCTATTGGAAGAGTAAAATAAATGAAAGATTGCATACTAGATTTGAGTTAAAAATAAATTAAGATATTATACCATTGATTAAAGTTTATTTTATATTTAAATCTAGCATATAAATTAAATTGTATTTAGATATTTATCAATGAATTAGTGCATATATTTATTTTTAAAATAAAATAAAATGAATGGAGAAGTAAAGATTATTGATGAAAAAAATATTATAGAACAAAAATGATGAACAAAATTGTCAAAAGATGTCCTCAACACGGGAATCTTAAAAACCCACGTTATCATCTAAAATTGCTGAGATGCCTCCTATATGGAGGCTCATGCATCTAAAAATGTTCGGGAATCCAACATTTTTATCAAACAAACACGGGAATCTGGATGCTTATTCCATGAGAATCTCTAATTCCCACGAAACAAACGACCTCTTTAGAGATTTTAAATTTGCCAGCATCGCATTGATAGTTAAAATTGCAGTCTCTTGTTTTCAATTTTTTGCAATTTTAATTTTGTTGCAGGTATGAGCAGGCTGAATATATTGAGCGGGAACTAGAGCAGATGACAGAGCAAATCAAATCAATTATCCAGACCCTAAATGCAAACCAGGTAAAGTATAACGGTCAATTGATTCCGTTTCTTGCCTTGGATGTTCCTTTACATGGTAATAAATGATTTATCTATTATTTTTATCTAGGGAGGAGAACTTGATGTGATTGATGGAATGACACCGCTAGATGCAGTTGTTCGAATTTTGAACAATCAATTAAGTTCTTTAATGTGGATCGATGAAAAGGTTAGTGTCTCTTGTATACATGTATCTATCCATATGGGAAACCTCTTCTAACAATGAGGACCTCAGTATCTCAGCTTCCAAAGTATAAAAATGTTTACAACATTTTCTATGTTATTAGACCTTCATCAAACTGGATTACTCTTGGCGAACTCTTTATGCAATCAAATCATCCACTCTATTGGGCAAGCTCATAGAAAAACCTATAACCCCCTGAATATGGGCCCACACTTTATGATCATAATCGCAACATAGGAAAATCTGGTCTAGAGAATCCTCATTGGACAGACACAAGTTACAAACAGAGGGAGAGAGAGACCATTGAGGATACCTCCGTTGAAGTCTCTTTGACGTATTAAAGCTCATGCAAAACAATGACCAAAGAAAGAATTTCACCTTCTTTGGGACCTTAAAGTTTCCAATGTGATTGACCACTGAGGCTTTCAGCCTAGTAAAAGGGAGGCAAGAAGGTAGAAAGTAGACTCAATCGTGAAGGAACCACTTTCCCCATCTTTCCAGATCAATCTATCTGTGCCCTGCCCTATGTTAAAAAGATCCAACTTTTCTGTAAATTGAGCCATCTATTGAGCTCCCAGTAAAAAAGATTTCTTCTGAAACCAATATCTCTCAAGACTGAGAGTGATCTCCGCAATAAGGCAATCCTTCTTTGCAGAGGCTTTTAGGTGATTTTTGTTCCACTAAAAGAAAAAACGCCACTGTAAAGTCATCCAGTATAGTCTATAAAAAAAGTCATCCAATATTGAAATCATTGTTCAATGAGTTTCTTTAATTTAGATATTTAAAGCATATATCTTTTGATAGATTCCATTATAGATCTAAGGTTAGGGAAGTACAAGTTTAGGAGAAAATGAGAGTTGTTCCCAAACATACCAAAAATATACTGCCCATGTACCTAGGTAAGCCATTTTCTACTTGACTAAACAGTTACAATAGGGTCCCGTACTTACATCACACATTCCATTCACTAGTCCTTCCAAAAGTTCGAAATGTTGATGTGGTAAAAAACGTCGGAATTCTTATTTTATAGAAATATGGATATTGATCGAAAATTTGATGAAAATCATAGAAATCACTAAATTTCATATAAATGTCTTAATAGGACTCAATGACCGTATTAAAAACAGAAGTGATATTTGTATTATTATTACATAATTAAGAAATTATATTAGAGGTCATCATCAAGCTGCTGTTCTGCCCAACACATATCGAGCAATCTGACCCATTCTCTGCTTGTATGCATATGATCTCACCTCGAACGTTGCCACATCCTCTACCTCCTAGATATTCAAACTGCTCGGTAACTTTGCTAATCACAAAATCTTCCTATCATACAACAACCCTTTTAGTTGTGTCATTTCGAATGAGCTCCTCAACTTCCTTAGTGAAACACACTCCATGCGTGATGACTTGAAGTTAAGTAGTTGGATAAGAAGTTTCTTTCTTTGAATTCTATGGTTAGAAAGTTCTCTAGTAAGTGTCCGGACAAAAAAAAAGGTTCTCTAGGAGAGCTTCTATAATTCCTATCAGAAATTAAGTTTGTTATGGAATCTAAATTTGAAAATGGAGTGATGAGGTTAGAAAAATGTTTCAATTACTATTGGTGTTATGCTGAATTGTCTACCTTCTCCCTTGATAAAAGAGGAAGCATTTTTGTTCTTTTGGGAATTAACAAACATTGCTTGGGCCATTTTATCGGAATTCATTTGTGACAGTTTAAAGAAGATTGAAGCCACGAAGGAAAATATATGGGGAGGAAAGGAATATGCAAAATTATTTTGATATAAGGTTTTGCATTATTCTCATATTAGGGATAAGACAATAAAGGGAGTTTCTGACGAGAAAGGAAGACGCACCTTTCTGTTGGTCAAAGCTATGGAAATAAAAAGCCCTCAATGACGTTAGTTTTTATGCGTAAGTTCGAATGATGGAATACCATTAAGTACAGGAAAAGGGGATGTAATTCCCTTGTTACGATGGATGGACAAATTTGAGAGGCATCCCCTTGAATCTGGTAGTTTGGAAAAGGGATCCTTGAAGCCTTGAGTCAAAATTCTGAGAGTTTCCTTCAACTATTAACTTGGTTTACTGTAAGTTTGTGTAGAAGTTAAGAGGATGTGGATTCATGCCAGTTGAAATTGAGCTCAAATCCCTTCTTGTGGTCATCTCGTGGTGCAGGTGATGGGCAATCCTTTGCAGAAAAATTTGCTAGATTGCAACGCTTCTATTAATTGTGATTCAAGTTATGTGTTAAGTGATGATTTTGGTTTCCCTTTCAGCAGTCTATCCTTTGTTTTGGCGTGCTTTCCTGTAATCAGTGTTCAACATCTGTTCTTGGGCTTCAGTTCTCATATTTTTATGGGTTTTTGTTTTCTACGTGCTGTTTGTTTTTTTCTTTTGCATTTTTCACTTCCTTTGGGAGCTTGTATCCTTGAACTTTTTTCTTCCTTTTCATATTATCAATGAAAAGTTTGTTTCTTGTTAAAAAAAAATAGTGATTCAAGCTACGGTAACTCAAATGATGCAATCCATTTAGGGAAAGTTTTGGAAGAACTTGATGCTGTAAAAAAGGATTTATTTTTTAAAGAGGTAAAGGGAAAGGAAAAAATTTTGGGCTGTGCAAAAGCAGTTGATGAAGTTTTGGGAGTTGAAGTTAAAGCAGGTAGGTTGGAAAGAGTGGCCCAATAAACATCATTACATGGTTGTGTGGAAAATCCAAAGAAGTCGAAAAGGCATCCGGATGTATTGAAAATATTTGATGAAGAATTAGGTTTGGTAGTAGCCCTCAAGGGGCAGTCTTGTTGGCAAGGGTTTGAGGTTTCTTGGTCATGTCAGTTTAGAAGTCTTAAGTTTGAACTTTAAAATGAACTTAATACAAAAAAAAAAAAGAAGAAGAAAAAAAAAGGTTTGGTAGATAAATCATTGGATTATCATAATTTGGAGAAATTGACAAGAATGGCGCTTTGGGGTCTACAAGTGAACTAATCAAGAGTGAAAAAAGAGAACTCATTAGTTTTGTGGGTTGAAAAAAAAAGGAAATATGATTTTGAGGCTTCAACAATTGAACTCACTAGTTTATCAAAGAAGAAAAGCTAAAATAGAAGAAAGGGGTAAATTGAACTCACTAGTTTATCAATGCTCTTGGAAGTTTGGCAAAAGGGATAATCATGTCTTTAGGAAGAAAAATGGATGAGCTGACATGAGCACGACCCAACTTATGAAGACATTACTTACCTCCCTAAAAGTCGGAGGTTCATATCTATCCACTCCTAGTGAACTAAAAATAATAAAATAAAATAAAAGAATGAAATGGATGAAGGTGATATCTTTGGTCTCGGTAAGTTCGAAATGTTCCCCAATCCATTCTCATGATTGTACCTCTCTGATCAGGCTCCTAATACGACAGTCTGCCAGAAATTTCTAAGGAAATATGCATTTAGATCCCCATTTGGGTCATACTTTTTATTTTTATTTTTATTATTGTTACTATCATTATTATCTTGGCATTCAGCTGTGAACATAATCTTCCTCTCAGGCCGAAGAGTTTTCTTCACGTATTCAGAAGATTGCTGCTACTCAGGGTCCTGCTGCAGATCGTGAACTGTTGGGTCAGAAGTTTTGGATGTCTTGATTTGTAAGCTGCTTTTCATTTTAACTGTTGAGAAAAATGCTTCTAAATTTAGTGCACACAGGCCTTAACACATACACTTTTCTGGTTCTCTTTTTGGCTTTTGCTGAACTGAGAATCGTCTAATTGCCAATTGTAGACAGAAAATTTGTCCCTTTTTTGTCTCACAAAGATGTATGTAACCATTTTTTCTGCTTAAAATTTTTAGTTTTTAATAGACAGATGAGATATCGAACTTCTGATACTGGTTGGTGAGCGGGAATTTTACAAGTCAAGAGGGAAGTATTGTTCCTTTTAGAGGAAAATCACTGAATTATGCTATTGATACTTAAGGGTGCGTTTAATTGGTTATCGGAGCACATAAATTTGAAATCCAGGGATTCAATTAAAAATAAAGTTTATTCTATATTTTCAGAGTTTTGACATGTATTTGGTGGCTGATTCGAAAATTGAATCTCAATTTAAACTATTGTTCAAGGTGGTGGGTATGATAGTATATTTGTAAACTAGTGATAGTTATCAACTAAATATTAAATTAAATCTAAAATATTATTTTTCTATCACAAGTTCAACACAATGCTATAACTCAATATATTTATTAAAATGTAACCATGATTTTGTATCAAATGGTTTTTATTATACGTAGAATTTGGGTAAATGTATAGGGACAAAAACGAACATTTTGAAGATACATGGACCAAAATGAGTCAAAGTTAAAAGTACATAAAATAATATTTTCACCCTTTTTTTTATATCTGTAAATGTCTAGATAGTACACTTCGACTAATCTCACGTGATAACTGTCTAATCTTACTATATTTGATTGACAAAGAAACTCATAGATATTAAATCCTAGGTAAGTGATAACTATATATTATTTGAACTTATTTCCTTTAAATTCTTTAAGGCCTCTCTACATTAATAGTGTTTTTTTAATAGCTTGAATATTTCATGAGCTGGTTTGAGACATTTATTCAAGTTTCAAAACTGCTATATACACAAATAATTTTAAAAATTAAAACCACATTGATAATTCAAAATTAATAAAAGTGGTAGTGTTTATAGTTAGGGGTGGGAGTGAGAATTTGAACAACGTTAATAGCATCCTAAATTAGTGATTTTCGATCTTAAGGTTGTGAGAGTTCGAATCCCTATCCTCATATATCGTACTCAAAAGAAAGAAAAAAAAGGAAAAAAAGAATAGATATTCAATGAACGAACTAGTTGGGTTAATAAAATTTTTAAGTCGAACTTAGTTATTTGAGATTGTCTAATCTAAAGAGAGTCAATCACAATATATACTGACACAGCGATAATTATATTTTGATAATAGCTAATTAAAATAATAACTACTAAAAAGTAGAAAAAGGGATCAGAATCGGAATCGATATGAAAGGTTAGGTTTAAATGAGATGTCATAAGGGACTTTTAAAAAGTTAGGAAGTTGGAGATGGCATTATATTGATTCTTCTTTTTGCATTGAAATGATTTCATCAAACTCATAGTCTTCAAAAGGGCGATTTCTTTTTTCCCTTTAAAGCAAGGAATTGAACTAACTCTCCCTCTATCAACCCACCAAAATCACCTACTACTCACAACCACCATTTTCTCAACACTAAGATATATTATTCTTTAAGTTTCCCAAGTACTTATCATTTGACTCCATTTTCAAGCTACCAATTCCTTTTCAAAATTATAAACATAGTCTAATTAGTTTACCCAACTCAAAATTACTTGCTGTTAGAGATGGCAAATGTTTTTTTCATGGGTCGAAATTGCTCGGGTGGAGGAATTTCTAATTTGTTCGGGGATGGGAATGAGAATATATTCTCACTTCACCCACCCGAGTTTACCAAATTAAGACATGATGTGGAAATAGCGATTTTAAAGGATCTCTAAGATTGTCCTCATAAGATGGTGTAGTGGCAATTGCTTAATGGGTCTTGAGTATATCACATGCCTTGAGAATTAAGTTTTAAGTTTTCGAGCCATACACTGATCACAATATTGTTCAATCTATACAATGATTTACTAAAGCAAGTCACAACATCGATTGCAATAAAAGAAAAAAAAATCCTAAAATTGAGATGTGAAATAATGCAACGTCTACACTATATATATTCTACTTTATTACATTGTCATCCCTACTTGCTACTATGGAAAATGTGAGCGGACCAAAAATATACTATAACAATTGACAACTTTAGATAAATTTTACATGTAATTTATTTTTAATTTTACTCGCACTAACAACATATATAATTGAAAAACAAAATCCAAAATTGAAAAATGATAGAAAAATTAAAATTAAATTGGTGTTAGGTAATATACTAATCTGGATAGAATTCAACTCGTTAGTGATCTTTGATAAGAGATTTAATTCTTCACCTATATATTATATTGAACTAAAATAATTACATTCCCAAATATAATCATCCAATAATTGGATCTCGTACTTCCCATGGGAATTAGTATATATATCTTATCTTGTTTGTGAAGCCAAAGAAAACACTAGACCAACAAAATTTCCCAAACTCTTATTTTTACAGCTTCCTTTCAAACCACTGTCTCTCTCTTTACAATGACGGTAAAGGACTGCGACCACCACCACCACCATTGCGATCGTCACCGTCTCTACCGCCGCATAGCCTGCGCCATCTTCACCGTCGTCCTCCTCGTCGGAGTCGTGATCTTCCTCATATGGGCCATCCTCCGACCGTCCAAGCCGCGCCTCATCCTCCAAGACGTCACTGTCTTCGCCCTCAACGTCTCCGCCGTCCCGCCGATCACCATCTCCGCCACGATGCAGATCACCGTCTCGTCCCGCAACCCTAACAGCCGCATTGGCGTTTACTACCAGAAAATGGATGTCTACGCCGCCTACCGCGGCCAGCAGGTCACGCTCCCCACCGTGCTGCCGCCGACGTACCAAGGCCATAACGACGTCGTTGTTTGGTCCCCGTTCTTGTATGGCGACGCCGTGCCGGTGTCGCCGGAGTTTGCAGGGGCTTTGAGCGAGGATAACAATGTTGGAGCCATGCTGTTCAGTATCAAAGTCAATGGGCAGGTAGTTGAATCACCCTTAATCCAAATGTTTATTCAATCTCAATGTCATTTTGGTCCTAAATTTTTAAGGTCTTTCTTTAAAAAATTTTATTTTAATCTTTGACATTTAAAATATGCAGTCTAATTCATGAATTTTGAACTACATTTTATTTCTGGTGTTAAGAATTTTCAAAATATCTGATTGTGATTCTCTAAAATTTTAAATAAGACAATAATTTATTAGTCCTTTTAATTTGTTGACGTGAATACGTATTGTTATTTTATTATTAATTTTTTTTAGTACAACACGTGAAGATGAGGATCAAACTTATAGTTGAGTGAAGTATTAAATGGATAAATTTTGAATAAAAAATAATAAGAAAAACAAAAATAATTAATTCTTTTGAAAGTGTAAGAATTTTAAATTAGAGATTTAAAAAATTAACTAAAAAGATTAGAAAGACAAATAAAAATTTTAGAAGTTAAAAAATGGAGGGTCTTGAAACTTTCCAATCAAAATTAGAAGATAAAAATGAAGGGTCTTGAAACTTTCCAACCAAAACTAGATTATTTGAACCTTTTTTCCCCTTAGATTACAGTAATTTAATATTTCTATTTATATTGTTAACACCTCCCCTAATAATACTTACATGCTTATTGGGTACTCTTTAATTTTTTCAAAAACAAATAAGTTATCCAATTTTTTTTTCTATCTCTTCTACTTGTCAAAATTTAACTGTATGTAAAATTGGTGAACAACACCTAAGTATAGACGTTCAAAACTAGCACAAAGTTAAACCAACCGATAATCAATATTAAATTTTAAATTAAAATATAGCTTTGATCTATTTTGGTCATTGTACTTTCAAAATATTTATCTTGATCATTGAACTTTGGTTCATTTTAAATCCGTGTCAAATATTCATCATGGTCCACGTATTTTTAAAAAGTAGTCATTTTGGTTATTTAATTTTGTTTGTAATCTCATTTTTTTCTATCACAATTTCAACCCAACATCATACTCAATACGTTTTTTGAATTGTAACCCTGACTATATACTAAAGGATTTTCTTTATGTGTAAAACCTGTACTAAAATTTTACAAATAGAGACCAACATAATTACTTTTTAAAAAGTATCGAGATTAAAATAAACATTTTAAAAATACAAGAATTAAAATAAACTAAAAGTTCGAAATTACATCAATAAAAATAAAATAGTATTTAATTAATCTAAATTTTGAAGGAAAAATTTAATTATTATTTTGTTTCTAAAATTTAAATTGTTATTGGACAGGTTCGGTGGAAGGTTGGGAGCTGGATCTCCGGGAGATATCGGCTGAACGCGAACTGTCCGGCGTACATAAGGTTCGGCGACCCGAAGCAAGGGATCGCCTTCGGACCGGCCATGAAGTTTCAGTTCGTTCAAGCTTGTTATGTCGACATTTGACGTGGCAGATAATAAATAATTGTTTCATTTTTTTTTTAATATTTTAATTTCTCTTCCCATCTTGTTAAAAACTCTCTATGTAGTTGCCGTGCCAGCCATGAGAATTGTTGGAATATATATATAAATTACATTAATACAATGTAGACCCTTAATTAGAACGGTTCAAAATACTGAATCATATGGAATGTGAGTGTTCTTAATGACTCATAAAATTTAGTGAGATCCCGCAATAGAAATAGACCAATAAAAATATGTCAGGTTAAAATTAGGACGTTGTGTATTATTAGTGACTCAAAAATTTTAGTGGGATCTACTCATCGATTAAATATAGTAGAATCTGAATGTAAATCAATGAATAAGACACCTAGATGGTGGTTCTATTTAACTCAAAAGAAAAAAAAGACAAAATAAGTGGAAAAAAATCAAAATGAGTGGGAATATAATAATAGAAATACATAAAATTAAAAAAGTGATTGTGTAGTAAAGTAATCTCTCTTCGACAGTGTGGTTTAGTTATCTTACAAAAAAATATCCATTATTTGATAGTCAACATAACTCAATTGGTTGAGATACTTACTTTTGATCAAAATGTGGTGTGTTCGAATCCCATTCTCATGTACTAAAAACCAAATATTTTCAGTTTAACTCGGTTTTTTAAGAACCGGACCAACCGAACCACATGTATCTCAGGCCCAGCTCTTTTTCTGGCAGCCCAATTCATCCAGGCCCAATTCCCAGCTCCATCTTAAA